GCTCGTTATCCCAGACTGGACCCCGGTTGGTGTGAATGTACGCCACCATATGGATGAATTTCTCAAGTGTAACGAGTCCTCTATGATTTCTTTCTTCTCTGTAACACATGTTGTACTTAAGATGTACAAGGAAGCAGTACTTATTTGTCGCATGCGTGTTCACAGAGCGGGAAAAGACAGAAGAGAAAGATATATTATCGGGAAGGGTGTCCTTATCATGGCGCCATGTGCATTTTTCTTCTTCTTTTCCTTTTTTCTTCTTCTTTCTTTCTTCTTCTTTTCTCTTCTTCTCCTTTTCTTCCTCTTCTCTTTCTTCTTTCTTTTCTTCTTTTTCTCCCTTCTTCCTTTTCTTCTTATTATTTTTTTCTCTTCTGCTTATGCTCCTTCTTCTTCTTCTTCTTCTTCTTCTTCTTCTTCTTCTTCTTTTTCTTTTTCATCTTCTTCCTTTTCTCCTTCTTCTTTCCTCCTTTTCTTCCTTTTCTTCTTCTTCTTGTTCTTTCATTCGACATTTTCGTTCTTCAGAGGACTATAATAAATCAAAGATAAAAATAAAATGGTTATTTAAAGGAATAAATATATAATATCATATAAAATACATAGCAATTGAGAAACTTAATAAGTGACAATAATCCTTCTTAAAAATAAACAAATAAACAAATAAATAAATAAGATAAACAAATAAGTAAATAAAATAAACAAATAGATAGATAAAAGAAACAAATAAATAGATAAAACAAATAGATTTATAAAATAAACAAATAGATAGATAAAATAAAGATAATAAATAGATACACATGGGTCGAATTAAATATAAGAAAGATAGATAGTTAATAAGATAAATATATAATTAACAGTAGCGGTAATTAAGTCTATTTTAACCCTAACGATAATAAGGAATTTCTCGATAATGACAAAATGCCAGACAGGAGGTTTAACGAGGGGGTGACCCTTACCCCCCCCCCCCCTCCTCGTCTCTCTCTCTCTCTCTCTCTCTCTCTCTCTCTCTCTCTCTCTCTCTCTCTCTCTCTCTCTCTCTCTCTCTCTCTTTCACTTTTGTTTTATTCCTTTTCCCTTCTTTCTACTATTCTTATTTGTATTTCTGTCTTCCACACACACACTTCGTCTCTCTCTCTCTCTCTCTCTCTCTCTCTCTCTCTCTCTCTCTCTCTCTCTCTCTCTCTCTCTCTCTCTCTCTCTCTCTCTCTCTCTCTCTCTCTCTCTCTCTCTCTCGCTCTCTCTCTCTCTCTCTCTCTCTCTCTCTCTCTCTCTCTCTCTCTCTCTCTCATCTCTCTCTCTCTCTCTCTCTCTCTCTCTCTTTCACTTTTTCTTATTCCTTTTTCCTTCTTTCTCCTATTCTTCTTTATTCTTCAGTCTTCCACCCCCTCGTTTTCCTCTCTCTCTCTCTCACTTTTTTCGTTTTACTCTTTCCTCCTGGTTCTTGTTTCTTCCGTCTTTTAGTTGCCTTTTCGCTTCCTCCTTTTTCTCTATTATTTATTTTGTCTTTCCTCTTCCCCTGTTTCGTCTCTTTCGATTTGATTGCTTTTATTCTTTTCCCTCTTTCTCCTATTCTTCTTTGTTTTCTTCCTGCTTTAGTTGACTTTTTGCTTCCTCCATTTTCTCTTCTTTTCTTCTCTTCTTTTGTCTTTCTCTCCCCCTGTTTCGTTCCTTTCGTTTTATTGCTTCTTTTGTTATTCCTTCTTCATTTTTGCCTTTTTTTTCTTTCCTTCCTTCCGCTATTTTTCTTTGTTTTTTTTTCTCTCTAATCTCCCCTTTTCGCCGTCTTGCTTCTTCCTTTCCTCCTTCTTTCATTTTCTTTCGACTTCCTCCCCTCTTTCGCCCTCTCATTTCCATTGTTTTCCTTTTTCCTATCTCCCTTTCGTCGCTCTTCCTCATTCCCATTCTCTCTTTCTTCCCCCTTCGTTCTCTTCCTCTTTTCTTTCTCCAATTATCCCTTTTTATCTCTATCCCTCCTCCGATTCTCCTCTGTCCTCTATTCCCTCCATCCTTCGTCGCTCTTATCTCCCATTCACTCTGTTCGTTCTCCCTTTCTTTCTCTTCCTCTTCCTCCTTCCAATTCCCTTATCTCTATTCCCTCCTCCGATTATCCCTCTTTCCTCCATTCCCTCCATTCTTCTCCCTCCTTCTTGTCCTCTTCCTCTTTTCCTCACGCAATTTTCCTCTTTCCTCATTCCTTTTCTTCATTCTCCCTCTTCCTCTATTCCAATCCATCCCTATGCTTCCTCCCTCTCCTCCAGTCCCTTCCTTTATTCCTTTCCCCCATGCCGCGCTTCCTCCATTCCCTCCATTCTTCACCCTCCTTTCTTGTCCTCTTCCTCTTTTCCTCACGCAATTTCCTCTTTCCTCCATTCCCTTCTTCAATTCTCCCTCTTTCCTCTATTCCAATCCTTCCCTCTCCTCCAGTCCCTTCCTTTACCTCTTTCCCTCCATGCCCGCTTCTTCCTCCATTCCCTCCATTCCCTTTACTTCACCCCTCCCCCCTCCCCCTCCCCCCTCATCGTCGCCCCGCACTCTCGCTCTTCAGGTTTAGAAGGGGGGGTGAGGGGGGGAGAGGGTGCATTCGACGAGAATTTGAGGAATTCTATTTTTCTTCTTTCTCTTTTTTTCTTCTTCTTCTTTTTTTTCTTTTATTCAGTTCTGACTTTCTTCTTCTTTCATTTTTTTACTTTCTTTTTAGGAATTCTATTTTCTTCTTTTTCTTTTCTTCGTTTTCTTCTTCTTCTTCTTCGATTCACTTTATCTTCTTCTTCAAATTTTTTTCCTTTCTTTTTAGAATTTTTATTTCTTCTCTTTTTTCTTCTTTTTCTTCTATCAGTTTTGACTTTCTTCTTCTTCATTTTTTCCTTTCTTTTAGGAATTCTATTTTCTTCTTTTTTCTTCTTCTCTTCTTCTTCTTTTCTATTCATTTTTTACTTTTCTTTTCTTTCATTTTTTTTACTTTCTTCTTTCATTTCTTTTTACTCTCTTTTTAGGAATTCTATTTTCTTCTTTTCTTCTTCTTCTTCTTCTATTCATTCCATTTGCTTCAAATCAATTTGACTTTCCATCTTTTCGTTCTTCCTTTTTTTTCTTTACTTTCTTTTTGATGTGATATTTATTTCTCCTTTTGATATCAAGAAAGATTGTGAAATGTGACAATCTTAATCTTCTAATTTCATGAATAAATAATAAATGAGCTTAAATCTCCTAAAAATAAAGATATCTATAATAATGAGAAAATGAACAATAATAATAATAATGATAATAAGAAGCAGAAGAAGAAGAGAGTAAACACTGTTAATATAATAATGATAATGATAATAATAATTAATATATGATATGAAAATAACAATAATAATAATA